GATAACTATATGATTTTCTTTAGGTTCACCTTATTTAGCTTCTCTAGGATCACAAATTATAATTCTCAACAGAAGAACTTCGAATGGCCAAAAAACACTTAAGGTCATGCTCAACCTCCTTAGTGATCAGGGAAATGCAAATCAAAACAACTTTGAGATACCATCTTACACCTGTCAGAATAGCTAAAACCAAAAACATCAATGATAGCCTATGCTGAGGAGGATGTGGAATAAGGGGAAAACTCATCCATTGTTGGTGGGAATGCAAACTTGTGCAGCCACTGTGGAAATCAGTGTGGCGGTTTCTCAGGAAACTGGGAGTCAACCTACCTCAGGACCCAGCAATTCCACTCTTGGGAATATACACAAGAGATACTCTATCATACTACAAAAGCATTTGTTCAACTATGTTCATAGCTGCACTATTTGTAATAGCCAGAACATGGAAACCACCTAGGTGCCCCTCAATAGAATGGTTAAAGAAGATGTGGAACATATACACATTAGGGTTTTACTCAGCGGTAAAAAATAATGACATCTTGAATTTTGCATGCAAATGGATTGAAAGAAAACGCTTTACTGAATGAGGTAACCCAAACCCAAAAAGAGGAATATGGTATGTACTCACTCATAAGTGGATTCTAGCCATAAATAAAGAACATTGAGCCTGTAATTCATGATCCTAGAGAAGCTAAATAAGAAGGTGAACCTAAAGAAAATCATGCAGTTATCCTTCTGGATATTGGAAGTAGACAAGATTGTCAGGCAAAACTTGGGTGCACAGGGGTGTGGGGGGTGGATGTAAGGGGAGATGGGTAGAGAGAAGGGAGAAGTGGAGGATCGGGGAAAGCTTGGGGGAATGGGATAGGTGGGATGGAGGAAGGGTGGATATGGGAGCAGGGAAGTAAATATCTTAATTAAGGGAGCCATTCTAGTGTTTGCAAGAGACCTGATTAGAGGGGTTCCTGGTCCAAGGAGAGGTCTCCAGATTGTTCCTTGGGCAGCAGAGAGGGTTCCTGAACTGGGCTTGTCCCATAGCCACACCGATGAATATTTTGCATATCACCATAGAACCTTCATCTGGCAATGGATGGAGATAGAGACAGAGACCCACATTGGAGCACTGGACTTAGCTCCCAAGGTCCAAATGAGGAGCAGAAGGAGGGAGAACATGAACAAGGAAGTCAGGACCACGAGGGGTGCATCCACCCACTGAGACAATGGGACTGATGTAATGGGAGCTCACCAAGGCCAGCAGAACTGGGAGTGATGAAGCATGTGATCAAACTGGACCCTCTGAATGTGGCTGGCAATGAAAGCTGACTGAGAAGACAAGGACAAAGGCACTGGGTTTTGATTCTACTGCAGGGACTGACTTTGTGGGAGCCTGGTTTGTTTGGATGTTCACCTTTATAGACCTGTATGGATGGGGGAGGACCTTGGACTTCCCATGGGTCAGGGAACCCTGACTGCTCTTAGGACTAGAGAGGAAGGGGGAGGAGGAGAGGGGGAGAGAAAAGGGAGGCGGAAATTTTTAATAAATATATAAATTAATTAAAACAAAACTCTAAGAAAATTCAAAATGTCAGATGTTTGAATTTTGGTAAGCATGGTCATTTGAAAAGGGATTGTAGGCAAGGTGCTCCTAGAAACAATGATTTTTTCTAGAGATAATCCTAACATCATCCACCAGCTTTTTGAAGTATGCAGAAGGTATGGCAATGGCTGCAACTGAACTATTTAATAAAGATCAACACAGGGCAGACAGGGTAATACTTTGCCATCAGGAAATTGTTTAAGGTGCCTCCTGCAGGTCCCATTATCTAATTTGGATCAATCATTCCTGTCAACATTGGAGAAACTCACCCATGGGGCAATTAAAAGACAATGAGACAATGATGGTTGTGAAAATAACACTGATCTGCATGTGATTAAGGTCAAAACAAGTTCAGGAGATAAAACAAAAATGTCAGAAGAAATTAGAAAGAAAAGTTTTTTGTTGTTGTTGTTTTTGTTTTTTAATTGCTCTAAATGATCAGAGACTATGAGGAATGTTACTCTGGTTTCCTTATGAACACGATCACTCATACACACATATATAAAGAATTTCAGCACACGCAACACACAAACACACACACACAAAATCAATGTAAATAATTGGATAGATAATAATGAACAGAACACACAGTTGATACAATGAAAACTGTATGCAGTGTACCCTGCAGAAAGATATCAACAGCTACTCAGATTGGAGTTTTCTGTAATTTTTCCTGTAATCGTCCACGTAAGTGTTCTGGAAATTTAATGTTGGGTTTATTGTGAGGAAAATGACAACTTATTACTGAACAACGTGACTTATGAAGGACTTCCAGGAGTTCAAGAACAGCCTGATTTACCTAACAAGTTTAACCAAGTAAGGAAGGCCCTGTATCCAAAATCCAAAGAATAAAAATTTAAATTGAAATAACAAATCTTTAAAAAATGTTACAGGGGTTTATTTTCCAGAATTAAAATGTTTAATTTAAGAAGTTCCACACTATATATATTGTGTCATTTTAGAAACCAAGAAGTTTTGTAAGAATACAAAATAAGCCACATAGGCAAAACCAGCTAATAGAAAACCTAAGAGCATTTGTGACAATGGTAGGTCTAGCTTGTGCATTCTTGCACTGTATAATTTGTACTGTATTTATGTTCATATAAATGTTTGTGAGCACTGAGTAAAGCAAATTATGAATCATGTTGTCAAGATAATATTCATGATCATTACACATCTTCCTGACCACTACACACTTTTTTTTGTCATATCAACCAACAGATTCCATTCAAACATTATCAGCCTGAGGCTATAGTTTCTGTACCATGATTGACATAAGGAGAATCTGCTTTAATGAAATTGATTTGAGAATATCCTGAATTTAGTAAAACCTCAAGTAGCTAAGATTCTCAGTCCCTATTTTTTTACCTTTGTGTTTAAGATAAAACATTTTTTAGGAACAAGCAGGATATATTTTGTTGTATATAAAATATCTCCAACCACTGTAGATAAGAAAAAAATTAATACTATATGAAAACAATTAGGTTTAATTAATGTAAAAGTGGCCTTAACTAAGGCTGAATATTCACTTATGTTATTTCTGAGAATTCACTTTGAGAAAACACTTTGGTGTAATAAGCTATGAATGAGTGATTTAAGACATATTTATATGTCTTAAACATATAAATATTATATTATATGAAGAACTTAATATAAACTATACAAGCACTATTGAAAGCAGAAAAAATATATTAATACATTGAAACAACTTGCTTCTAATAACATTACTTAAATATATGTAAAGTGTGTACATTATGACATCATTTGTTATTTGAAGTCTAATAATGTTGGATCATTGAAAATGTGAATGAGTGGTTCCCTTTCTTCTGTGTCTTTTCTTGTGCTCTTTTCATTCTGTTTGTTTTAATCAAATTGGAATTTTAGTTTTTTTTACCATAGTTTATTTTACTATTATCCCTTAGGACCATGTTTGTTTTCTAATGAAAGACAGAAATGGAGTGGATCCAGATGTGAGGGTAGGTGAAGAAAGACTGGGAGGAGTGGAGAAATGGGAAAGTATGACTAGGATAAATTATGTAAGCAAAAAGTATATTTTCAATAAAAGGAAAACTTACCTATTGATTCAAAAATAGTAACTAGTTATCTTTATACAATGAACTAATTTATAGTGTTTGTTGCCTTCACTAACAAAATGTGAAAGCATTTCCGTAAGTGTGTGATTTATTAAGTTTACTTTATGAGCATAAATCTGTGCAGAGGTATGGATATTTACTAGCTCCCTAATTTATACCATCACAAAAAATATATAGGGAGTAATGAACAGAAACTAATTAATACAAAGTAATTGGTATCATTGTATTGTTGCAAACTGTGGTAATTAGTTTCAAAGGAATATTTTAAAACTAATAATAGTAATGCACTTTAATCACTCTACTTATATCAAATACGCAATGTTAAATCATGTTATTATAACTTCTTATTCCTGAGAGACCAAGTTGTCAGCATTCAGGGCCCATGCAGAAAGACTTATATTTAGGGCAATTCCAGAGAGAGTAATGTGTCTATACAGGTAGAACTACCTCCACTAACATCTCCAACCTGGATCAGGTACAGTAATGTTTGCTGTTTTTCAATTTACTTTTCTTTAATTCTTTCTATTTTTTATACTAAATACATGTATGAAAACAGATATGAAAGGAAGCAAATATCTGCTTTTTAAACACTAAAAGTCTTAATGTTGATCCAAAGTAACATGGGAATTAAAAGTGCTAAGAGGGACTTGGGACGTGGGTAAAAATCATTTATTATTTTAATAATATATAAGTAATTTTATGTATCTTAAATGTTATAATTACATTAAATAAAATCACTACTTTTTAAAGATCTGTATACTGAGAAAAATACTTAAAACAATATACTCAAGTTTTATAAATCTGTTATCAACGTGATACTTTTTAGATCTTGTATGTGTTTTTATTACCTGTCATGCCGCAAACATATATAAACATATATAATTATACATGTTTATTATATATTAATTTTATATGTCCATATAACTATATATAACAAATTATATGAAATATGTGTTCCTGTAACTGTCAACTTCCATTTATCTAGGTAGTTTGTTTGTTAGAGTAAAGAAGTAAAAAGGTGCAACATAGATTTTAATTGGAATGACTTTTTAAGAATTATTAGCATAAATCGGTTGATTCAAATGTTGCATAAAAGTCAGAATGAAATAAAGAAAAAATAAAGCATTGTTACAGGTTCTGGAGACAAATTTGCTCAGAAACACATCTGAAAATTGATACAATGAGTATGAGATGGCTCTCTTAAGGCCATGGTGGTTTTATCTATTTTAATTCTGTTATAATGAAAGGACAAAGAGGTTAACTATAAACACAGAAAACTATAACTGTCACCTTCCCTTTTTATTGAAATCCCAGGGTTTCCAGACTAGAACAATGACACTTGAGAACGTCACCATGTTTACTGAATTCGTCTTCTTAGGACTCTCGAGCAGACAGGATGTGCAACAGGTCCTCTTTGCCTTCTTCTTTCTAGTTTATGGCCTAACTGTAATTGCTAATCTGGGGATGATCCTGCTGATCAAGCTGGATTCCAGGCTGCACACACCTATGTACTATTTCCTGAGCAATCTGTCCTTCTGTGATGTCTGCTACTCCTCCACAGTCTCTCCCAAGATGCTTGCTGATTTCTTGTCTGAACAGAAGAGGATTGCTTACAATGTGTGTGCTGTTCAAATGTATTTTTTTGGAGCATTTGCAGATGTAGAATGTCTCATGTTGGCTGTCATGGCCTATGACCGTTACGTTGCCATCTGCAATCCACTGCTCTATACGATTGCAATGTCTAAGAAGGTCTGTATCCAGCTCGTGACTGTCGCCTATATGGTAGGCTTAGTGGACTCAGCAATCCACACATGCTGCACATTCCGATTGTCCTTCTGTAATTCAAATATCATCAACCACTTTTTCTGTGACATTCCACCTTTGCTGGCCCTGTCCTGCTCAGACACGTCCATCAATGAGATAGTGATGTTCACCTTCATTGGCTGTGTGGTGGGGTGCAGCATTGTCACTGTCCTTCTCTCCTACTGCTACATCATAGCTACCATCTGCAGGATGAACTCTGCTGAGGGCCGACAGAAAGCATTTTCTACATGCGCCTCCCACCTCACGGCTGTGGCTATTTTTCACGGAACTCTCCTTTTCATGTACTTCCGACCCAGCTCAAGTTACTCAATGGATACCGACAAAATGGCCTCTGTTTTCTACACAGTTGTGATTCCTATGTTAAACCCACTAATCTACAGTTTAAGAAATAAGGATGTGAAAGGGGCTCTGAAGAAAGCAATCAGTATTAACTTGCAGTTTGGATGAAGTTCTGTTTTGCATTTCAAAATGAGTAGAATGTTCTCAGACTGAGTTTACATGCATTAATATAGAATTCCTTGTGTACAACTTTCACAATATTGCCTACTGAGAATTAGATGTAATGCAAACAACCACTGACCTTAATTTTTAGATCAATAAACAAAACCTAATTCATCATCTTAATTATGCAGAGAGGGTTATTTCACACCTTTCCTCATGACAAATGCGATACAGTGAAGTCCAGCAAACTCCTTACAATTAGTACTTCTCAACTTACCTTCTAGTTTTCACTAAATGGGTACAATAAATAGCTTATGAATTCAAAATGAATTTTAGAGAGAGATTGAAGCTAAGACTTTTGTTTGACTTTGTTTTTGCAATATTTCTGTGCATTAGTATCACCTTAACTATGTCCATTATATTCTAGTTAACAATTAGTAACTAAATAAAAAACACAGGCTAATAAAAGACTCCTGCTTTAGACTCTCATCCTAAGGAGGTAATATTATTATCTCATTTAGTTTAATGTATTTTTACTTGTCTTATTTTCATGTTTGGATAAAGTGTTCCCATTAAAAGACAGTTATTGAATGAATATGGCTATATACCTTGCAAAAATAATATATGTGAGTAAATTAGAGATTTAATAAAGCTTCCTTTTCATTCAATTAAGTAATTTTACCTTGTATTAAATATGTTTCTTGTCTTTGACTTAGAAATGACATACTGTCCAAAGGGCTATTTGTTGTGAGTTCTCCCTCAGTTGTTCAACATGCATCAGCAAAGTCTTCATGATCAACATTCCCAGGTTTTCATTGTATCTTGAATTCTAACTTTCTTATCTGGACCTCCCTTCTTTCTCTCATAGTTAAGAACTGATATTATATTGTTAGCATCTCTGTAGCCTTTGTAACCAAGAAAGCTGGTAGTTAAAAACAAAGAACTTGTTCCAAAACTTTATGAATGGTGCTTTCATCTCCTTTGAGAGGTTGATATTATTATATTGTGCTATTATTGAATTCTATACTTAAACCCCAAATGCCCAGCCAGCATAGTTTAAAAAGCAAAGCAAAGATTTTGTTGCAGATATTTTATAAGAAAGAGAATAACAATAATATTAAATACTAAATAATAATAAACAATTTTTCTTTTATAATGATTCACACTTGTTTAGAATTTTCAGAAAATATTTCTAACAAATGTGCTTCTAAACAAAATATAAATGATGACTCAGACCTGAATGGTTGGATATTAACTAATGCCATAGTATATACTAATATTCAATGTAGTTAACTGTATATGCTGTTCTCAAAATATAATTTGATTAACCAAGTCACAATATTTATAGTAAAGCTGCACTACTAGGAGTTGATTGTAGGAGAACTCAATAAATTCCAAGGGATGACATGCAAAATGTAGGGTTAATTGAAAGTAATAGGGATGCCATTTATGAAGAAATAATAACACAGAGAAGCCACTTGGAGACAGTGGTATTGATTAGAATTTGGAAAGTTACCAAAGAAGGGTCATGTGGAACATTCTTTCTAAAAACTCTGCTCAGATGGTAACAGGTAGAGGAAGGAGAAAGAGCTCTTGGAAGGTATTTTTCCCATGGTGATTTTTGGTCAATGTTAAATTTGCATCTCTCACAGTGCTTGCAGCGGTAAATGCATTTACAAGAAATATCTCCCTGTTATTCAGCATAATAGTTGCGCCCATTCCCACTGAATATATGCAGAGTTAGAAGAACTCATCTTGGTCTATCCCAGTGGCACTTTTTCTTTGAGAATAGAAACGTGCATTTTGAGAACATAGTATTTCAGACTTTCTTATGATTCACAGTTGTGAAAAATGTGACAGACAAAAGAGAATCCAGCTCATTTTAGATCTCTGTAATGAATAAAAATGCTTTTATAGGGTTTTACATGACAATACTATTGTATATATCCTTAAATAAAAAAATCTATTTAATATTACAAGCTGCGAAACATCGCAGTCATGAACCAATTAATAAAATTGTATTATCTGCTGTATACATGTCTTAGATTACTGGCTGAGCAGGGTTCAAAGTAAATAAATATTTTCTTGTCACTTAAATCTCTATAATCTCTAAGGTCATATATTTTTTAACAAAATATGTTACACACCAGGACCTTTCTTTCATTGCTATTGTCTTTACAATTAAATGTCTGAAGTTAAAAAAAATGTGGAGTGAAGAGACGTCTCAACTGCTAAGAATATGTGGCGTGGGATGGTTGAGAAGGAGGAAGGCTGGATATGGGAAGGAGATATCTTAATCGAGAAAGCCATTTTGGAGTTTGCAAAAGGCTTGGCTCTGGAGGGGTTCCCAGGTGTTCATGGGGATGACCCCAGCTAGGATCCTGGGAAGTGGAGGAGAGGGTGCCTGTACTGGCCTTGTCCAGTAGTCAGACTTTTGACTATCTTGAATATCACCATAGAACCTTCGTCTGGTGGTGACAGAAGGAGACAGAGACAGAAACCTACATCGGAGCACTGGACTGAGCTCCCAAGGTTCAGTTTAAGAGAAGAAGGAAATATGAGCAAGGAAGTCAGGACCAAGAGGTGTTGATTCACTCACTGAGACAGTGTGCCTGAAGTAATGGGAGCTCACCAACTCCAGCTGGACTGAAAATGAAGTAGCATGGACCCTCTGAATGTGGTTGACAATTGAGGCAGACTGGAGAGGTCAATAATAATGGCACTGGGGGATTTGTCTCTACTGCATGGACTGTCTTTTGGGGATCCCATTCTCTTTGGATTCATACTTTCCTAAGCCTGGATGAAAGGGGGAGGGCCTTGGACTTCCCACAGGGTAGGATGCCCTGCCCTATCTTAGGACTGGAGGGGGTGGGGGTGGGGAGCGGGAGGGAAGTGGGAGGAGGGGAGGAAGTGGGAATTTTGATTGGTATTATTTATAAAGTAATAAAAAAGAGGGAAAAAATAAATGTTGCTTTTTGCAGAGAAATTCTATTTGATTGTTTTAGCACTGACATGGTGACTTACAGCCATGCATAACTCCAGTTGCAGAGGATCAGCTATCCATAGGCACCAGAAATGCAGGTAGTTCACAAACAAACATGTACTCCAAACACTTATGTATATAAAATAAAATAAATAAATCTGAAAAAAGAAATAAAAATTAAATTAAATTTTTGTTTTTTTCCTTATAATTTATGATTTCTTTTAAATTTCCTGTCTTATTATCTTTGGAAGTTGTTATAACAAGCCATTACTTTGGATGATTTTTAGATTCTTTGACAACTTTACACAATACAAAATGCATTCTAATTGCTATCTTTGTCCCACACTCTTTGATTTGTTTCATTCGCGCTAAATATCCTCCCTTCTTCTCACCTGTCCCTTTCCCAATTTCATGATATTTATTATCATTGATTTATTTGGTTTTAGAATGGTCATCTGTATGAAAATATATTGAGGTATCCATTAGAGTTGTTAGGAGTCAGTAGTAGATATATAACTGAAAGAAACAGATCCTGTTTCTGTGAATCTATCCAAAAGCAACAGTTTGACTATGAGATGTAGGTCTCCTTATGCCCTTGCCCATCCTTGCCTAGCTAGCTGGTCAGGGTCCATTCTGTGCAGGCTGACTGCAGTCATTTCTAACTTTTTAGAGACTGTGACTATGGGGATTTCATATTGTCCAGAAGATAGCATCCCATAGCCCTTTTCCTTAACTTTCAGCTCATACAATCTTTTACTTCTTGAAAAATATTCCCAGGAATACCTTTATAATGTTCAGTCTCTCTGTGTTTGGCAAATTAGGAGAAAATATTTCATTATCTATCCTAGCTTGGTGAGTCCAAAGATTTGTACCTCATTAACTTTTTATCTTAACTTGTTTTACCAACCCAAAACTATATTTTTATATGTCAAAACATTATCTTAGATAAATAACTTTTGCTCTCATGTCTTTTGACCAAATATACTTTACATGTCTTGCATAAGTTTCTCTTGCGGTAGCAAGGAAAATTGTATCAATTACTATCTCATCTTCAACTCCATGAAAGTCCTACAAGCAATACAATATTACCTGAGTGAAGAGGAAGTAGAGAGCAAACAACTTCCAAAACTATAGAAATGACAAAGACATCTGACTACTTGTACAGTCACCCAAAATTCCTCTCTAAGATTGGGGCATCCATTTTCTTCATACAGCCCTAAAATATCTGACAAATATTCTGTTAAGCAGGAATTTTGGGGAACTGTCCTACCTTGTCTTGGAAAAATTTGGCAGTATTCTTTTTTTGGTGCTCTTTTTGTCCAGGTTGTTAGCAGTGGAGGCATGGACAGATTCTTGTCTAGTGGTTAGCTTTTCTACAACAAAACCAGACACCATATGGAGGATCTTTAATGTCCTTGGTGCTCCCAGGAGCAGACAAATCTTATTGTCATAAAAAGCTTTAGGTTTTTAAAACATAAGTGCCATAATCTGTAGATCTTTGAAGTATTTGAAGACCATTTAACTATCTAAAATATATCTCTGTTTAATCTTAAAACATATCTAACATGATTGCAAGTTTGGCTATTATAGATGACTAAATACAACAAATGTTACTGAAAAGCTGGATATCCACATGAAGAATGAAATTAGTCTTGTCGCTATGACTGAAAAAAATTAATTCCAAAGGTATCAACACTTCAGTTTGAAACCTAAAATAGTGAAATTGCAAGAAGAAACAAAGGCAGTGCTTTGTAAGATATAGTTATAGGAAGAACTTTTTGGAGAAGACTTCATTTATTCAGGAATTGAGGCCAAATTGACAAAATTGAAATAAAAAAATATAATGATAAGTCACAAAAGCTTCTAAGAAAGCAATTAATCAAGTGAGGAAAAAGCTCACAAAATCGTAGAAAATGTGGTCCAATTATATGTAAGACAGAGAAATATTATCTGGATTTTATAAAGTACTCACTTGCATAAACAAAAACTAAAAACAAAGCAAAACAACAACAACACAACAAAAACAAGACAAGAAAGGAACCAGTTACCCAAGGATTGAGTCTTATGAGAGGG